TTGCTATGCTCATGCAGTTGTGATTTGGAAGGGAAAGATGTCCCATAGTCACTGCATTCATATGGCTTCTCTCCACTATGAATTCTCTGATGTGCAACCAAGTGGGTCTTTGGGATAAAAGCCTGCCTACATTCAGTGCATATGCAGGGTTTCTCTCCTGAATGAATTCTCTGATGCAGCCTCTGATGAATCAAAGTTTCGCCACATTCATTGCATTCAGAGGGTTTTTCCACAGAATGACTAATCGGATGAACAAAGAGATGTGGCTTCTGAGTGAGGACCTTTCCACATTCACTGCATACATAGGCTACCTTCCCAGTAAGAAATATTCTTTTTTTTTTTAAAAAATTTTTATTAGTTGGAGGCTAATTACTTTACATCATTACAGTAGTTTTTGTTATACATTGAAATGAATTAGCCATGGATTTACATGTATTCCCCATCCCAGTCCCCCCTCCCACCTCCCTCTCCACCCGATCCCTCTGGGTCTTCCCAGTGCACCAGGCCCGAGCACTTGTCTCATGTACCCAACCTGGGCTGGTGATCTGTTTCACCCTAGATAATATACATGTTTCAATGCTGTTCTCTTGAAACATCCCACCCTCGCCTTCTCCCAGAGTCCACAAGTCTGTTCTATACATCTGAGTCTCTTTTTCTGTTTTGCATATAGGGTTATCGTTACCATCTTTCTAAATTCCATATATATGTGTTAGTATACTGTAATGGTCTTTATCTTTCTGGCTTACTTCACTCTGTATAATGGGCTCCAGTTTCATCCATCTCATTAGAACTGATTCAAATGAAGTAAGAAATTTTCAATGAGCAATGTGTTCTTGTTTCTGGCTGAGGGCTTTCCCACACTGATTAGGTTCACAGAATTTCTCATTTAGATGAGAAATGACACGGTATAGAAAAAGGAATAAGTAGAATTTGACTACAACCAACAATCTTCTCAAGGTTTCCCTGTGTTACTTATTATCAGACCTTGTAAGTTTAAGGTCTACTTCAAACCATTCCCAAATGAATCGCTTTTAAGGGGTTGTTCTTACGAACTAACTATGGGATCCTGTAAGTTATTTTTCCAGTGTACCTATGTTCACAATCTCTATGCTTATTCAATGTGTTCTTATTGATGAAAGCAACATGACACAAAGGTCTATTTTGGTTTTCCTTATGTTTATCTGGTCATCACATTGTCACAGTGTTTTATTTAAAATGAGGAATCATTTTAATTAAAAGAAACAGTGAATAATTCCTCTTGAGTTCATCTAGTTTCTCATTGTGAAATAAAGCTTTTACAGTAGTTATCGAGTGTATGATTTCAATCCCATGTTTCTCTCTTGAAAGGAGAAAAAGGAGGCAAAATTCACATTTAAAACAGTTAGCCAAATACAGAGGAGTTACATGCAACTGATCCAGGTTGGACACAGGCAAACCAGATGATGAGATGACAATGACGATGACGATGACAGAAAACACTGGTATGGTTCTTACTACATGCTATGTACTTAAATAGCTTTTAGGACATGCCAGGCACTGTTCTGAGTGACACAGAAGTATGTACACACATACAAACTCATTTAATTCCTCCCAGGAACCATATGTGCTAGGTACTGTTATACTTATTTTTAAAAGAGAAACTACAGCCCAGAACAGGTGTATAATTTTCCCAAGATGGCATGGGTCATATGCAGGAGAGATTAAAACAAGACAGCATGTCTCCACTTACATAGACGATCTGGTACCCATTTAGTTCCTCCAGCAGCTCATCTTTACTCTAAGAAAAGTACCAACTCAGCTGGAAGGGGAAATCACTGATGCTTTGTACAGAAGATGAAATACAATAGGTTTATAACACTAAGTAGAACGAATAAGCTATGCTATTATCCCATTATGCCAAATTTTAAAATACTGAGCCTGATCAGATCATGAAATCCAGTTTGTTTTCTTCTTGTGGTTAGGCTAAAATAGTGAAATCTAGAACTTTGTCTTATGTCTGCCAGACTTCACTATTCTTTCACTCCTATGCTGTGCTCTGTATATCCACAAGCCTCATTTCATTTATTCTATAGGTCTTAAGCATCCTGATTCATAGGCATGGATTGAGAACTTTTTCCAACTTTCTACTTCATTTAGTATATGTGTACAAAATTCACTAGAGCCAATAATATTTAGTTACAGCTACCACTATTCAATGTAAAAAGTTAATGCCTGTGCTGAAAATAATTATCTTTAACATTTCTGAGCCCACAGACTTCCTTATCAGCACATAAGTAGAGTCATCAGTCTGGAACCATAGCTATGGATGTGAGTTTGCATTCTGCTAGTCATGAACATGTCCTCAAAAAATCCAGCATATTCCCCAATCCAATAATTATTCACACACACTTCTTCCATTAATTTGGCTCTTTCTGCTCTGTTGTGCCAGTTCAAAATATATATGTGATTCATAGATCAGTTAAGCACACTCTGCTCTGAAAATTAGTCCAGTCTCACCACAACTTTAGGGAGACGTAATTTTCTCTGAATTTTGAAAGGAGACACTATGCTGCCCACCTTGACGCTTTTTGAGTGAGAGTTGTCTGCTTCACTAGAGTGATTAATGAACAAGGCTGAATTTCTGTTTTGTTCTCAAGCCATTTCACCCCTTCCTACTAACAATCTGATTCTTTGAACTCTTTTTGACACACTTTAAAAAAAAAAACCCACTGAAACATTTACACAAAACCATTAATGTCAGGACTTGACCTGGTTTCTCCATGTTTCCACCAGAAAATTTAAGAATAAAATATTATTTTTCTATTCTTAAAGATTTTTCATAGATATAGGATGGAAAATAATCATATACCAGACAATCTGAAAGCATTACTTGTAAAGAAATACGTCTGGAAAGAAAGTAAAAAAATGATTAACATTGGCAGTCCCCAGGGAAGAGAAGTGGGGAGTAGATGTGAGAGTGAGATTTTTTTACTGTGTACTCTTTCACACTTTCTGAATTTCAATCTTCGTGAATGTATCACCTCTCCAAACGTTTTCAATTAAAAATTAAAATAAAGGGGGAAAAAGTTTTTATTTGTTCTGAGTTTCTATGGGATGATGGGGGTGAGAAAAGGAAAAGAATATTAGATACTGGAGAGATTAAGGGCCCAATTTTATGGAACAGGTGAAGCCTGTATCTAAATAGAGCCCTAAATAATCAATAGCCTAGACACAGAAATTTCCTATGTAGGAAGCATTAAGAAAACTGGAGTTAAACATGAGTGTTGGAAGATAAGTTTCAGTTGGAAACAACGGGCCTGTTGTCATTAAGAGGAAGGTTTCATTATCATGTACTACATAACTGGGAGTAACTGCAATTTCATTTCATAAGGCTGGTACAAGACAAATGTCATGGTTTAGGTAATGAACACCTAAAATGAACTTGTTAAAAAATGGAATCAATTAATCCCATTCAGAACAGAATAATCCAGGATAAAACATGGACTTGCTTTGTGGTGACACAGGTGAAACTTAAAAAGCGGGGGGCATTTAAATAATTTCAAAAAGAGGAAAAAAGGAGGAATTGCAGGATGAAGAATATTGGAGAAAAATATCTGATTTGGGCAATATGATTTCAGTTAATAATATATTGAGAATGAAGGAACTGCACAGCTCTGAGAAATGTCACTCTACATAGGTAAATTCTGGTACTAGGGTACAGTCGTAATGCAAGGACTGAAGGTATCACTATATGAGTCAGTAGAATAGGAAAATAAAACATGGATTCAGAATGGATGGAAGATTCCCTTAAGGAAGGGAAGAGCAGAGGACAGAAGACAGGGCCCTTCAGTTAGAGGGAATGGAAGGAGAAAAGCTTGTGAAAAGAAAACAAGGTGTTCATCAACAAGGAAAACACAAAAACTCTACACTTACAAATAGATAGAACAATAAGAACAAGCACCCCAAAGAATGGAATTCCACATGGATAACAGATACAATTAACATTCAAAGTAGCTGATTATAAGAGAAACTGAAGCGCAAATACCAGGAAGTTAGCAACTGAGGATGAGACATAGGGTGATGAGCAAGAGTATAGACTCTGATGTCACTCTTGACATACGTGAAATGAAATGAGACTGGTTCTACATGACAGGTGAGAAGCTGGAGAGGAAATGGAAAGGGACTGGCAGGAGCAAGAGCAGGAACTGGTGGTTTTGAAAGGAAGCAGATATATGGATTCCCACTGCATAAGGACAAAATCTATGGCGGGGGAGGGGCAGGCAGGACAGAAGAAGCACAAAATATTAGGGAAGGAAAAAAATAACTAAGAAAGCAAGGTGCTTGAGACGGTAGCACCTTGGTCTAGACTACAGGGATGGGGGAAGGGCAGGTATCTCTCCTGCCAAAAAGCCTGGCAAAGAAGACAGTGGATATTGGCAAGGGTCATACTAGGAGATGGCATTTAAGTATCAAAGGGGCTTCCCTTAACCCTGTCTAAGCACTTCTAAAAGTTTAGAGCTTGTTTTTTGTTTTTAAAGAAACAGTTTACAGTTTTTAATGAATCTGTAAGCCAAAAAGCTTCCATTTCAAAATAAAAACAAATCCCAGGTCATGTAGATGTTTACAGTGACTACGTTTATGTAAGCAACATACATACGTGTTCAGTTTAAGATGTTAACTAAAATTCTGTGACAAACACGCGTTTTTTAAATACCAAGAACACTATAGAGTTAACGCCGAGTCCTAAGGATAATCTAGTGGTCACTAAGTTTTTCTTAAGTCTTCACTTCAGAGGCTGTTATTTCCAGCTCAGGTAAGCAAGCAGAGTCGCTCATATGCTCAGACTTGGAATCTTGATTACGACCATATCAGCTGGCTGGCAAACGAAGTCAACCATATTAAGAATGTTTTAAGTGAACAACCTGCAAACCCCAGGGATGGATAAACCCACAGAATGCATTAACAACAGTAGCAACTGTACAGGCTATTCTTCTGAAATGAGATCTCTCAAAGCAGTATAGTTCAAAATAAAAGAATTTAACTAAAATTGGCACAGGCACAATTTTCCCACCAATGTGTGTGTGTCAAGCATTTAGTGAACTTTTCCACTTGAAAAAGTGAAATAGAAAACTGGATACCATGTTTCACTAATGACAGAGAATTCAGCTCAGAGGAGACCATCTCTGCTGACCAGAGCCAGTTTAGAGGGAAGTGAATTTGCTGCTCGAGTCTCCTGTTCTGTGTCTTCTGTTCCTTGATTCATGCTTATGAACCTTTCACTTCACTTTTGGTTTTGTCAGTTTGACTAAATGTTAAGTGTTTGGGCCTGCTGACACTGCCCACTTGAAGAGGCAGCCTGCTGTGCTGTTTTCTCCTTTAACACTATCCAATCAAATCCATAGTCATGTTGGTAATTCAGGGTCCTGAAAAGAATGCGGAATAGCTGCCTCAGGTATGTGTAATCCGGGGCTTCCTCAAAGGACAGCCCACGACAATGCTCAAAGTACATGGCAAATTCTACAGGAAATCCGTTACATAAAACATCAACAGGTGTGGCCATCTTCATTTCGCTAATCTTTTCACGTTTTTGCTTCACCGTTGCAGCCTTTAGTCCTTGCCATGGCAGGCTGCCTCTATTAAAATACATCAAAACATATCCTAATGATTCCATGTCATCTCGGCGACTCTGTTGAATACCAAGATGTGCACTGATGCTAGCATAGAGAGGCGTGCCAGTGAGACTTTTACCCTTTCTGTGCGGTATGTGTTGCCCCGTGCTGGGGTCTCTGTACTTCTTGGCCAAACCAAAGTCAATAAGGAATAACTTCTTCCACTGCTTCCCAGTACCCATTAGGAAGTTACCTGGTTTAAGGTCTCTGTGTATCATATTGTGTGTATGCACATATTCGAGTCTACTGATCATCTGATCAGCTAACATAAGTACAGTTTTCATTGTGAACCTTCTTGAACAGAAATTGAAGAGGTCTTCAAGGCTGGGTCCCAGAAGATCCATGACTAGCACCTTATAGTCCGTTTCCTGACCATACCACCGTATTCGGGGGATGCCAACCCCACCTTGAAGAATATTATAGAGCTCCTTCTCATGTACCAACCAGGGATGCTTCGCATTTTGTGATTCGAGTTTTACGGCCACCTCCTCGTGGTTGGTGAGGTCTATCGCCAAATAAACGTCCCCACAGGAGCCACACCCGATCTCCCGTACCAATTTATATCTCCCTCCGACAATGGAATCGGCCTTGGGTCGGCTGCTGCTCGCCATCCTGAGAGACAAAGACGGGGTTGGGGTTAAGCTCCGACACCTCTAAGGGGACGATGGATGCCCTTAGGGTTCGTCCAGGGAGCAAGGCCGTGAAGGCAGGCAGGAAACAGGGAACGTTGGCTGTTTCTCAGCGTTACAGGGCCCCGAATCGGTCCAGGGGAACCTGACCCCCGCTACTGTCTGGTTTCCTTTCACCAGCCCACAGACCTTTGAGGGGGTTCTCACCTTTAGCCGGCTGAGCCTCTGGCTTCTGGCGGTGGCCGTGGCCTCGCTTCCGCGGCGACTTCGGGGGCTGGTAAAGGGGAGCCGTGAAGTTATGGGGTCGATACCACTGCCACCAGTGCCGCTGGCTCCCGCCAGGAGGGACCCCTGGTCACTCCGCCGGAGCTGCCATCTTGTTATGAAGGCTGCAGCCAACACAAAGTGCCCCGTGTTCCAGGCGGGCGCTTCATGGCGCGGAGAATTCTGGGAAAGGAATCCCGGGCGCTCTTAGAACCTTCAAGACAGGTTATCTGCAGAGCCTTTCAAAGGCATCAGCCTGTCCTAGAAAAACAGATCTACTCCACGTCCCCCAGCTACTCAGGTCACACATCTGAGCAGCCGTGATGTGGGCTTTCCTCCTCCAGTGTCCATGGGCCGTCTTCTTTCTCCAGCTTGAAGATGACCTCTGGTTTGGGAGCTTGGTTCACTGTGAACAGGACACGATACAGGATTGGGTCCACTAAACTGGGTTTAAGGGCCTTTCAACCACTCTCCTATTTGCTCTTCAGGAAAGTAATCCCATTTCCCTGGGAATAGAGTAATAATCAAAGAAGTGTAAAAGGACTGAAGTATTCGGGCAAATCAAAGATGACACCATTATACACTTCAGATGCCCCAGAGCATTCAGCAGCTGAGAACGGAAGCAGCCTCTCTGAGGCCCCTGGAAGGTGCAGAGGGCAGCCGTGCCTACTGACCCATTGCGCACAGTTGGCTGTAGGTCTCCAGTGTCGCATCCTGGCGCAGGCACCTCTGTACAGGGTCCAAGTGCTGCCACTCCTCCCTGCTGAAGTCCACAGTGACGTCCTCGATGACCCCTGTTACAATACAGTCCCGTTCAAGCTGACATGGTCGGCACTGGGGGTTGGATGGAAGAGAACTAGGAAGTTAGTTGTCTTTAATGATTTTCGCCATGACACGCTATGCTTATTAAACACCTAGTTATACCTAACATTGTGCAGGGTAAAAATATCTAAAGCTATTCATTTCTCTTATTCATCGTGTGTTAAATTCAACCAGTAAATCATTATTCAGAAATTAAGATTACATTAGCTTTTCTAAATCTTCTAGTTCTTTTAGAAACTACCTAGAATTCATTTCTTAAACAGGTAGGTAGCAGACATGCTAGGTTCTTTGGCCAGTGCTGTGTGCTAATTGGCTTCAGTCCTGTCCGACTCTTTGTAACCCCATGAACTGTAGCCCACCAGGCTCCTCTGTCCGTGAGATTCCCCAGGCAAGAAAACTGGAGTGGGTTGCCCTTTCCTTCTCTGGGGGATCTTCTTGACCCAGGGATGGAACCAGAGTCTCCGGCATCGGCAGGAGGATTCTTTACCACTAGCGTCACCTGGGAAGCCTGAGACCTCAGCAAAAACACAGTATTCCTATTTCTCTCATCAGTTTCTTTGAGGCAGTCCAGACTTTTTCTATCAACCATCTGCAAATGTTTCCAGCCTCTCCCCGCTGCTCAATTCCAAGGCCACTTCCATGTCTTTTTAGGTGTTTTCTTACAATAGCACTCCACTCCCAAGTACAGAAAGCTGTTGTTTCCTAGGACTGTTGTAACCAAGTATCACAAACCGTGTGGCTCAGAACAACAAGAATTTCTTGCCTTGCAGTTCTGGGGGCCGGAGGTCTAAAATCACGGTGTCAGCCAGGTCATGCTCTTGTTGAAGGTGCTAGGGAGGGATGTGTTCCATGCCTCTCTCCTGGTTCCTGGTGGCCTCAGGCATCTTTTGTCCTATAGATGCATCACTCCAATCACACGGTCATCTATTCCTTGTGTGCCTCCGCACAGTCTCTCCCGTGTGTTTGTGTGTCTCTGTGTCTACCCTTCCCTTTTTTGTAAGAATGCCAGGCATATTGGATTAGGGCCCACCTAACAACCTCGTTCTAGATTGATTACTTCTGGAAAGACCTGAAAGGTTACTGCTGTGAGCCATGTGCTACGCCGGGATTCGTGGCCTCTGGAGGAGAGGACTTTGATCCAGGGCAAGAGACGAGGCTTGCCCACTGGAACATTTTGGGTAACAGAATTTTATTAAAGTATAAGAGAGATAGAGAAAGCTGCGAACATGGACATCAGAAAGGGGCAGAAAGAATGCCCCCTTGCTAGTCTCTGGCAAGGTGTTTTATGTCTGTTAGCAAGTTTATTAATCAGATAAGAGTGACACCTCAGGCTGAGGGAGTTTCACCAGGCCCCTCTCCCACAGTATGCATTTTTGAGATAGAATGGCCCAAGGTGTGTCATCCCCCGGCCATAAAACAATTGACATGAATACTGGTTTGTTGAGCCAATATCAGCCCAAGGGTTGAGAAAAGGAGGGGGGGGGAACACGTTAGTCTTAGGCAGAACCATTTTGAAGAAAGGCAGGTTCCAAAGCAAATACATGGTTTCGTTAACATAGCTTAAGAAAAACGTTTCCATAAGAGAAACTTACTGGTTAGCTCAAGGCAGAACTAGGTGTCGTCAACACATAAAGAGAAGAGGAAGAAACTTCTGCCAACTGCACTTTATTTTCTCCTGCCGCTCCGGGACTCCTGGCCTTCTTACCTGTTACCATCTCAGGCCCTATTTTTAATTAAGGCAACATTCAGAAACAGTGGGGGTTAGGACGTCAACATATTTTCTTGGATGGACACAACTTGACTCATAACAGGGTCCTCATAGATTCACAGGGTAGCTGTGCATGCCCAGTGAGAGGAGGTGGCTGTAGTTTTCAGCATCATGTCCTGGTACAGGAACCTCTGAGCAGAGTCCAGGTGCTGCCACTCCTCTCTGCTGAAGTCCACGGTCATGTCCTCGAAGGACACTGACACCTGTAACAAACACCAAGGACACGGACAGCTGTAAGCACAGCCCCATTTGGGGTGACCAGGTCAGCACAGGGAGATAAGGGAAAGATAGGAAACTGTTTTTAGTGATTTTTACCATAACACCCCATAGGCTATGCCTTTTAAAGGCCTACTTACACGTAATGTATAGAATAAAAATATCTAGTCATAAATTTCTGCCATCCATTGTACATAACAGTCTTTCATCTTAAAAAATAATACTTTTTATTTGTTATCCATTTTATACATAGTAGTGTGTATACCTGACTCAGTTTGCTCTAGAGCAGAAACTAACACAGCAGTGCAAACCAACTATACTCCAATAATAAATAAATAGAGTGATTGAAAGGGGAAAAAGTAATAATTTTGTCCAGGATTTGAAGTTTATTCTACTTTGTTGCTCATGTTAGTGGGAAATTTGTGTTTATTCCTTTTTTAAGGAGGCATGTATACTTTATTAAAATTTATTTATTTATATATCTTTGGCTGTGCTGGGTCTTTGTTCCTGTGCAGGGGCTTTCTCTAGTTGTGGCAAGCAGGGGCTACCATCTAGCTGTGGTGCGAGGGCGTCTCATTGCAGTGGCTTCTCTCGTTGGAGAACACAGGCTCTGGAGCACACAGGCTTCAGTGGTTGGGGTGCACAGGCTCAGGAGTTTGGCGCCCGGGCTCTGGAGTGCAGCCTCAGTAGTTTTAACGCACAGGGTCACTTGAACGAGCGGCCCCTGCCTTGACAAACGGACTCTTAACCATTGGACCAGCAAGAAAACCCAGCATCTACACTTTTTTTTTCTCAATTTACATAGCTCCCCCTACCGCCGCTTTCATTTAGTCTTCAAAAANGACCAGTTTTCCCAGCACCACTTGTTAAAGAGGTTATCTTTTTTCCATTGTATATCCTTGCCTCCTTTGTCGAAGATAAGGTGACCATAGGTTCGTGGATTTATCTCTGGGCTTTCTATTCTGTTCCATTGATCTATATTTCTGTCTTTGTAAAAATACAGGCATTTTCTCTTGACACCTTCTTTCTGGGTCAATTTTAACTTAATTCCACAGTTGTCAGACAACGTACCCTGTCTGATTTCAACACATGGTCTATCTAGAAGAATGTTTCATGTGTCCCCAGAAAAGAATGTACATTCAGCCAAGGATGGGTGCAGTGTTCTCTAATATAGAAGTCAACTTGATTGAGTGTTGTTGAAATTTCATATCACTTTACTCATTTGTCTTCTATTTCTTCAACCAGTTCTTTGTCAACTTTTTGGTGAAAACTGAAACAGAGATGTTAGAAATTTATATTGCTATGCAAAGGAACTAGAATACACAAAGCAGGCATTAACATGGAGGATTTCTATTATGTAATGTTAAGACTTACTCTGCTGCTGCTGCTGCGGCTGCTAAAACGCTTCAGTCGTGTCCGACTCTGTGCGACCCCACAGACAGCAGCCCACCAGGCTCCCCCGTCCCTGGGATTCTCCGGGCAAGAACACTAGAGTGGGTTGCCATTTCCATCTCCAATGCATGAAAGTGAAAAGTGAAAGTGAAGTCGCTCAGTCGTGTCCGACTCTTAGCGACCCCATGGACCGCGGCCTACCAGGCTCCTCCGCTCATGGGATTTTTCCAGGCAAGAGTACTGGAGTGGGGTGCCATTGCCTTCTCCGTAAGACTTACTCTAATGCTACAATAATTCAGACAGTGTGGTATGGATGTAAGTACAGACACACATATTAATGAAACAGAATAGAGGGTCTAAGAAACAGATTTGCACACCTATGGACAATTGTTTTATGAAAAAAGTGACAAAGTACTTAAATGGGGAAAAGGAAAGCCTTTTTAAAAAACTGTGCTGGAACAAATAGATAAAACATTTTGGAGGAGAAAACAAACTGTGATCCACACCGCACACCATATACAAAAATTAACTTAAGTGTTCTCACCGCACACACACACACACACACACACACACACACACAAAGTAACTCTGTGAGGTGAAGAGTGTGCTGACAAACTTGATTGTGATATGAAAACAGGTATAGAGATCAATGGGACAGATGAGAAAATCCAGAAATAAACCCACACATTGATGGTCACTTGATTTTTACCAAAGGAGCCAAGAATATGAAAAGGGAAAGGACCGCCTCTTCAGTTAATGGTTTGGGAAAACTGGACAGCCACATGCAATAGAATGAAACTGGAACACTCTCTTACACCACACATCAAAGTTAACTGAAAATGGACTAAAGACTTGATCATAAGACCCAAAACCATACAACTTCTGATGAAATCAAAGGTGGTAAGCTCCTGATATGACTCGTGGAGATAAATTCTTGGATTTGACACCAATATCAAAGGCAACAAAAGCAAAAAGAATCGAGTGGGAATATACCAAACTAAAAAGTTTATGCCCAGCCATTGAGACCGTCCACAAAATGACAAGGCAGCTTACTGAATGGGAAAAATATTTGCAAATTGTGTGTCTGATGAGTGGTTAAAATCCAAAATACGTGGGGCTTCCCACTAGGACAGTTTCTCCTAGTCTATAACTTGTCTTCTGAAAAACAGAAGTTCTTAATTTTATAAACCAGAATCTATCAAT